ATGTTAGTTTCTTTTCTACTCCCACGTCTATAAAAACATACGTTTTATCAACCACTTAATAATACAAAATTAACCTTGCGTTACGCTATTATTGAATTCAAACGGTGTCGGTTAATATTGTAAAAATTCAACGTGTATCTAGGATGTGGTTGACTATAGCAGATAAATGCCAGCAGGGGGCAGCAACACCACACATTAATGTCAGCGGGACGTGGTTCGACACTTGACACAGTGATTGTGTTTGTAGTTGAAAATCAGATTCCTTACATTCGTCTGCTATGTGTATTTTGGGTGAAATACTAATGATTATTAATGATAATGGATATCATAAAATATAATAAAACACTGGTACGTATTAAAAATGTAGTTTACTTTTGCTATCTTGGAGCTATTTTGAATGTTTTCTTTTTTCAAGCTATGTTTCATTTTGTTTTTTAAGCTATTTTGTTATCTTTTTTACTAATTCTAGTTTTTAAAAAATATATTTAAGTATTTTGGTTTTCGGTAGGTCTGGCTAATGTCTAGTGTTTATTTACCTAATTTCCCAAAATATTTTAGCTGTGCGCTAATAACTTGGATAACTGTAGGTTATTTACAACTGATGTCTGACCTTGTTAACCATGTGTAGGCTTTGTTGTTGTTGTTGTTACTTTTGAATACGTTTGTGCTTTTAACTAAGTGTTCAGCTGTGAAACTGTATTTACTGTATGTTTCCTGAAAGTTGTATGTACCTCTGCCTTACCTGTGTCTAGGACTGCTTGGATTCATTGATGTGTTGGATTTAGCTAATTTTAGCTCATTTTTAGCAGCTAATTTTAAGTCATGTACGCTCTCTTTGCTATTCCAACTCTTTCGTGACTTTATAATGCTGACTGTTTAGTAATTTCTGAACGAAAATAGACATTTTTCGCCCAGAAAGTACAGGGATAACCGTGAACCATCATAAGTCGTTTTTAGACACAAGACATTTTACATCATTTTATATTTGTTAACTAAAAACTTAGACTTACCTGCATGCTCTACTTCAATCTTCTGAAGATGAACGCTTTAGTATTTTATTTATATTTGGGACATTATGGTGGTTCGTCCTACTTGTCTTTTTTTTTTTTTTTTTTTTTTTTTTTTTTTACCTGTTACCTGTTTCTTATTGTAGTCTAATTTGAGCACAGAGCGATATTTCGAAGTCAGTGCCTTCAGAGAGCATGGAACTTGGTAGAGCAGAACCTATACTGCCCTCTGCTGGTCTGGAAGTTACTTTTTTTTTCAAATACGTCTCCCTTCATTCTGTCCCCCTCTCATTGAGTTCTCATCTTTCTTTGAATAATTTATTCCCAAAACAATCCCTATGGTTGTTATCAAACCTTAAAACACAACATTTTTTGAAAAGAAGAAGAAAGAATTCTGTTCCTAATATCATTCCCTTCCTTAAAAGTTATATTGAAGTCAGAGTTCTTTACTTAAAATCTTGTGACTACAGCAATCTTCTGCATTTTCTTCAGAATCCTGACTCAGTTTCTTTATGAAAAAAAAAATCCTTTAAAAGTTTTAATTTTGCCTAAATTCCAAAAGGTTTGAACTTTTAAAAATATTAGGGATTAATCCTTTGCAAAAAAACAAAAACAAAAAACAAAACAAACAAAAAAAATCCCTGATTGGAGCAAATGAAGACCGTGGCCCTGCGTTTAGGCTAAATACATTTTTTATTTTTAAAAACCATACACATTACTTGACAAGTTTCAAATGTAAATCCAATCACGATATCCATTTAAAATGCTCAAGATAAACAGACATGAAGTACTCTTTATTTCCAAATGTTAAAAGATAAAAAAATAATAAATCCATAAAACAGATGGAAAAAAAAAAAACATTCATTCCCGTTGACAGGAAAGAAGCTACAGAACAAACAAACTCCTCAGGTATGGATTCCGTTTTTCTCGCCTTGTATGCGAACCCTAGCTGCAGTTGTGTCATCTGTAAAACAAGGAAAACAAACCATTTCCTCCGAGAACGTTGACTTTTTTGTTAACATGTTCACCTCCGTCCGTGTCCCGTCAGGTGAAGGTGACCAGGTAGCTCGGCTCTGGAGTCATCCTACGCAAGTTGACGAGCACCTTCTCCAAAAACATTTAATTAAGTAACAAACCAAAAGAAGCCTGTTCTCTTTCACACCATTCGCACCCTGAGATGAAATATTCCAGAACAACACACATTTTAGTGGACGACCCCTCCCTGTGTTTATGTGATTGGTGTCAAATTTAAAAAAGAAATGAAAAAGAAGTGGACTGCAACGAAAGGTAATCACCAGTATTTGTTTGTCATAAAAATACAAAGGTTCATATATTCTTTTTTTTAAATTGTGATCTGTATCAAAATTCTTCTGCCTCACAAGAACTGGTATGAAAGAAAGTACCCTGTGCTGACAGATACCAGTGTATGTCTAGGATTTATTCTTGAAAAATTGACTTATCCAATTTTTAAAGTAGCAATTCCAGTACAACAGGTGTCAAAAATATCTTACAAACCCATCAAATGCAGCAACATTTATTTACCGTGGACAAAAGCCTTTGGGCTGGGCTGAAGGACAAAAAAAAAGTCTTTTTTTTATTCACTTGGTTTTTGAAGAGGTCAACAAAAAGAACACAGAGGTTCTGAATGGAAAAAAAAAATCACCTGCTTTTTGACCAAGACTAAGTAAATACAACAAGTTAAAAGGTTTTCCCTCCTTCATGACTTCCTTTCAAATACTTTTACTACGCCTGAGACAAAAAAGTCAGTATTTGGACATTGGCTGGGGCTGAAGTTTGGTAAAGAAAATTTAAATAAAAAAATTAAAATTGCACAAAAAAGAAGAAAAATATCTGAGTTTATCAAGCATCCAGAGACAGGAAACCAAGCTCATAGTGTCCTCATGGGAGTGAGCATCGTCTGAAGATTTTTAGTGTAATGTCATTAGCATTGTTCTAAAATAAATAAGTTCTTCTCAAGTGAACGGTTAACTGCACTGCTGTCAAAAAAAGGACAAATGACTGAAGGAAAAACAATATATATATATATCAGCTCAGAGGAAAGTGCGGGTTGCGAGTTTGGTCGAGACCTAACATTTCACAAGGAATTAAAGCTAATGAATAAGACTGAGGCGGGAGTTAGTGTCCACTGTTAGAACAAATGAAGGAGAGTTTTTTTTTTTGGGGGGGGGGAGGGGGGCTGGGATCAGACCAGAGGAAAAACAAAACAAAAAAAAGTTAATCAATGTCAAAGGTTAACGTGGTTAGTGTTAAGGAATGCAGTTATAACATTTTTTTCTCTCTCTTTCTTTCCAGATTTATAGAAGGTCTAAAAAGAAAAAGTTGATGCTGCGCTGCCCTCCCCCATGCTCCACTTGTGAACCCTTCCATCCAATAGCGTCTCAAGCTATATTAATGTTCCAGTAGAAGAAAGTTGGACATGAGCTAGTGTTACGTACATCAACACAGAACAAACAACCCACAACCATGCAGCTACATCTATAGCTCCCCCTAGAGGGCCAGGGAAGTGGAGGTTCATCAACATTTGCTGAAGCCCATGCAAACATTAAACAGTGGCCCAAATATTGAGAATGCAGGAATTAGAATTCAATTAAGTTCCAGCTCTACCTCATGAACACAGGACTGTTTCTTTTTGCTCTCCTTTTATTTCAGGCGTCATCTGGCCTTTGACCTCTGAGAATTTGGACGTCATCGAATTGAGCAAAAAGATGCAGACTCCCTGAGAGACACCGAGATAAGACTTTTTCTCCTTTTGACAAACTTTCCGCCTGATTTATGCCGCCATCGGGGGATGCTTGATAAACCCAGGCATTTTTTCCTAAAATCCCTTTAAACGGTGGAACCTTTCAACATGTGGAAATCCTGGAACACAACATAATGAATGTAAAGAGAATCCAGAAGGTTTTGTGCACATGAAAACTACCCAAGAAATGTAGGAAGTAAATATTTATAGCAACGTTAGTGTACAGAGGCCCTGTTTGTCTTTCCCATCTCGTCCCGTCTCGTGTAAGGGAAACGTCTCCGCGTGATGGACCTCCTGTTTCTATACAAGCCTTAGTGTTTGTCGGTTTGGCTAGAGGTTTCTATATTTATCTACAAATATATAACAAATAAAACTTGCAGGCAAAAATAGTTAAGTTTCAATAGAAACACCTTTTTTTCCTGAAAATACAGCAGTATCTGAAATAATCCTCTCATTCGTCCGTTTTTTGTTTTTTTCCCCCCCTCTCTCCCAGTTCTCTGCGTCACACATCAGGAAGCTCTTTTGCCCACAAACAGAAAAAAAGTATCTACAAACTTTGTAAACAGACCTGCTTTTTTTCCAAAAAAAAAAACAAAAACATAAATAACTCGAAATATTAACAGCCAATGGAGCAGAAATACGATTTGAATGAGCAAAAAGGGCCAAAGAGATAAATATACAACACCATTCAGATAAAAGAGAAGCTAAAGGTTCCTTTCGGATTTCTTACAGACCATCTTCAAGCCGGGAGGAAGGAGGCCTCCTCTTCGCAAAAATTAAAATAATAATAATATTAATAATAATAGAATAATAAAAACAGGTCACTTTCAATCTGAGTTTATAATCGCCCCTTCTTTACCGAGAAAAATAAGAGTTACGGAGGGGGGAGGGGTGGAGTCCGTCTGTCGCAGCCAGGGATTAATAAGAACCAAAGACAAAAGAAGACCAAAGCATCCACACCAAGCTGCACATTCCTCTGAATGTTTGCTGTTCTTTAAGTCCAGCCTGAAACCAAGACTCCTGTTTCCTTCCAGACCTCCGTCTCCTCCTCCTCCTCCTCCTCCTCCTCCGCTCCCTTCCTCCCTCCTTCCCTTACGGTCACTGTTCCTTCTCGTCCTCTTGTCCGAGTTGAGCTCCTGGATGGAGGTGGTGGGTAGAAAAAAAGTGGGTGATGACGTGCAGGGTGAGGAGGGTGGGATCAAAGGGAGGTCTCCAGGCTGTGTAGGGGGCTCCCGGGGGCCGAGGGGGTTCCTGATTTAGGGCCGTCGGGAATGAGGTGGTTGCTGCTCTCCACGGCGTTATTGTTCTGGTTGGGGGAAGGGGAGGGCGACACCGGCGCTGTGGGCACGACGACAGTGGTGGTGGTGGCCGGCGAGGGTGTGGGCGAGGGCGGCGGTGGCGTCGGCGTGGTGTTGCGGGGGCTGGCGGAATTGCGCTTGGTGGGAGCGTCGTCTTCTGCGTCGGTGTCGTCAATGAGGGGGATGTGGGGCTCAGAGTCTTCTATCCGGAATTCTGGATGGGTCATGAAGTTGTGGATGGAGGTTCTGGACTCTGGCTTCTCCAGACCCTCATAGAGGGAGATGGAGCTGCGGAATGCATTCACCACTCGGATCTGGAGGGAAAACAGGAGAGGCAGTGGGGGAAAATAAAAGACACGGAATTAGTGACTTTTGGTAATAAAAACATTTTTTGATTAATCGTCACACCCGGATTAAATCCACAGATTAAAAACCCTGGGGCGCAGGATTTATTGGGTCAATATCAGGTGAGTTTCGGGGCAAAAAGAGTGATCAGTTGGGGCGGGGGGGGACTCTCAGAGACACGTGCATGTGAGCAGTTATTCCTGGTAGTCAAAATACAAAAGATAAAAATCCAGTCAGTATAATTATTTTATATCTTTTTTTTAGAAATAGGACATTCTGTGTTTCAGTTTTCACTTTTTCTTTTTTTTTTTTTACTTTTGCCTGACAAAGTACAAGTGTTAGGATGTCTACGAACTCAATGGAATTGAGCATTTTCATTTTTTAAAGTGGTAGTATTTTAGGAAAAAGGGGTAAAAAAAACAAACAAAAATGGTAGTTTAATTTATTAAAGCCTCTGTCTGATGAATCAAAATGCAGAGAAGTGTACCAGGAGACAAAACAAATGCTGTCCCCTGGATAAAACCACATCCAGTGAGGTAAAAGGGACAGAGGCCGGACACAAGAGTTTAACCTTTGTTGGACATGCTTAGGAACAAAAGACACAGAAGAAGAGAAAAAGACTGGCCCCCAGAAGAAAATGCTATTTTTTTTCTCTTAATTTTATAGATAGATGGAGGATAGATTCAGGAAACTAAAATACAGAGACGAAAAACATGATCCAGACAAAGACAGATTCTTAATTCCGAGTGCCCTAATGTAGTGGTGCTTAAACTATGGTACGTGTACCACTAGTGGAGGATACCGTAGGTTCGCTCTTGGATTTTCTTTTAACTTTTGTTTTTCACATATCTAAATACATTTATATAACATTTATAAATTATTTCATAAAATATTTACAGCCAACACCCATCTGTTAAACAGTCTGCCCACCTCTATTATAGTATATTACTTTATTTACACACTTTATTACAGGTGTCACCAAATATATTTGTCAAAGGGTCAGAATCAATGTTGGACCAACACCTTTGGGGCTGGATACTAAAATTATTATTTGACATTTAGAAAATTAAAAAAAAAAAGGAATGTAGTTGCGGGCCGGATCGGATGTTTCAGTGGGCCGGATTCGGCCCGTGGGCCACCAGTTGGTTTCTGCTTAATTGGTTTCCTAAATCTGTTCCTTAAAAGCTTCAGTATTGTTTTAGTTGAACAATAACTTTACTAAAGCTGAATGAATAAAAGCAGATTTTTGGTAAATACTTTAAATAAATGACATTTTTCTTAAGAGGGCTTCTGTTTTCTCCACGACTGTGGATTAAAGACAGAGAGAGAGAGAGATAGGGACAGATGAGAGAGGTAGAGAGATAGAGAGATAGAGAGAGAGAGAGGGAGTGTTGGTGGAGGAGAAACAAAGAAAGCTGCAGCAGCCAAGCATGTCTACAAGCTGGGGAACATGTCAAGAAAAACGGCACAAGAGAGAAAACTCACAAACGACCAGACCAGAGACTTTGAACCCATGCAGAGCGCGGCGCTACCTTTGTGTTCAATGGTAGTAAACCTTTGAGTATAGCCCATGACACATTTCACAGAATCTAAAGGAGAATATGTGGGGAGTCAGTGGCATTCAGTCTTTATGGTTTTGGATGGAAACAATCAGCAAACAAACCTGTGTGAAGGAAAATTTAAAAAAAACAAAAAAATACCCACAGCCCTGAGAAGGTGTCTGCACCTGGACAGGAGAGGACGGTTAAAAGGAAAGACCACCTGAGACAGAGAGCCCAGAAAAAACCTGCGTTGTTTGTGGATTTGCTGTTAATGTGTCTGCAGGGAAAACCCCACATGTTTACACTCAAGAGCAGCAGAGTCATTTATTCCATTAAGGCTGTTTGTGTGACATCTGCTAGACATTTGAAAACTCCACCACCACCGCCGCCGCCGCCGCCGGTGCTGCTCAGACGGGAGAGCTGAAAAGGAGAAAAGACTCGGGACAGGCAGGGGGCGGAGAGCGGGGGGGGGGGGGGGGGGGGGGGGTCCACTGCTGTGAAATGATCTGGATCTCCTCTGTTAGTGTTGGGATCCTCTGGATGTAACCGTGAAGAGGAGTTCTACAGACGGAGGCTCACTTCTGAACAATTTGTTTAAGACCTGGGGTGTCAAAGATAAGGCCCATGGGCCAAAACCAGCCCGCTAGGGTGTTCAACCTGGTCCACGTGATGAATTTTGAAAAAACTTTTTTTTTTTTTTACATAAACACTTCATGTTCAGGATATTTTTGTAAAATTATATTTCATTAAATATGAATTAAACATTATAAATATCTAATATAATTGTAGTTGTTTGCATGAAACCAAAGGGGAAAAACATGGACGTATTGTTATTTATAGTTAATTATGCTATGGCTGTAATAGTCCAACCCACTTGACATCTAATTAGGTTGTATTCAGCTTTTTGACGATTGAATAAATTTGGATGGAAAGAATGAGATGAGACTTGATCCGAGTTTTGTCGTTCTGGAACGTCAGTGACACAAAACCTGCACAAAACTTTGATTTAATATTCCTTAGAAAATCTCTGCAGTGACCTGAAAATCAAAAAGAAATGTTTCAATTTTTTTTTCCAAATTTGGAGAAACTGAAGACATTTGTGCAAAAAGGATGAGCTGAGATATGAAAAAAAAAAATGACCTGGACCCATTTTTGATCCATTTGTTCCTGTATGCATTGTAAATTAAATGAAACTTGTAAAAGTTGAGAAATGCTGTGTTACAAATACCCCTTTCATAATAAAAGCACTTAAGGAGGTATTGAATGGATAAAAAAAACTGTCATCTAAATAGGACACAGCAACAATCTTCACTTTAACTCAAAAGAGCTGCAAAAGAAACCAACGTTATTAAACAACCAACTGACAATGGCATCAACGCACTGATGCCACACTCTGGTGCATCTGTGTGTGTTTTGTTTTTTTTTAAGGGCCGTGATCATGGGCATATACTCAAAACATTTACACAGCTACACAGGACTAGAGAGCTGCGGCGACAGACCCATGGGTGCGATACAGGAGGCACAGAGCAGACGGAGGCAGCTGCAGACAAACCTCTGAAATTTTAGGTCAAATGTCAAGTAACAAGTAAACATTAAAAAAAAAATTTAAATTAAAAACTCGCTTTTTTTTTCCCCCTCTCCGTTTCTTAGACCAAAGCAGAAGCTGAACAGAAGACATGACGACACACAGAGAAACACCTCGAACTGGTTACAGGATACATGTATATAAACAGATATATATCAATACACAGCAGTGTTATTGAAGCAATATGGAAGATGTATATTTGGTGTCTTTTTGGGGATTGAAGGGGGAGAGTATTTGGAGAAGCAATGAGAGAGTCAAAATGTCAACGTTAGGTGAGAAAGAGGAGGAAGATGTTAGACGAAAAACCAGAAGAGATTTTTCTTTTATAAAGGAAAAAAAAAAGTCTCATGCACTAAAGGAGAACACGCACTCACACCCCACAGTGGCAGAAGCGGAGTTGGCGGCAGTGGCAGTAGTGGTGGTAGTAGAAGGAGGAGGAGTAGAAAAGGCTACATGTGTAGGGCTAGAAACATTGGTTACATCGTGCTGTTGTTGGCTGGAGTTGGAGGCCTGCCGCCTGAGAGCCCCCTGAAAGGAAGTTCCACTCTGGAACGCACTCACTACATCCATCTGCAAAGAATCAGACAGTGTGACAGGAGAAGAAGAAGAGGAAGAAGAGGAAGAAGAAGATGCCCAGAGGAAATAAATGAAAAATAATAAAACACAACACAGCCATAGAAGAAAAGAGAGAAGAAAAATAAAGAAAAGGCACCAATAACCATTGAGAGAAAAAATGTCATTGGAAATTGGTTTTAGGTTTTAAAGGGGGAAAAAAGAGGAAGGAATGTTTAAAAATGTTTAAAGGCACTGATTTAGAAACACCCCCAAAACTCTACCTCACCTTTGACTCTTTTCTCTGTGAAATCCTTCCATACTTACAGCCAGGTCTTTGAACCGTCAGCTGCTCTCAACACAAGCTAACATGTGTTTTTTTCCCATCAGTACCTTCAAACCAAGTCAGAAATAAAGCCAACAGGAACCTGCTGCAGCGTCGACGCACAACAGAAAAGTGACACCCCCGTTTTTTTTTTTGTTTTGTTTTTTTTTTTGTCTAAGGCACAAGCCATTCTTGGAGAACTGACTTGAGGAAGCTGAAAGAGTAACAGAGTTAAAACGGTTTCATGGCTTTTCATTCCCGCCGTGTCCTTGTTGTTGGGCGATTACCTGAGTCTGGATGCGATTCAGGCCTCGGAACCAGAGAATCTGGCCTCGGCGCAGCTCCCGCTCGGCGTGGTCGATCTCTTCCATGTCATCCAGCTCCTCCAGCTCCTCGTCGGGGATCTCCTCCTTCTGTGTGCCGTGGCCCGCCGTTTTCAGGAACTTTAAGCGGCTGGTGGGTATCGTAGAGATGACCTGGAGAGACAGGCGTTTGGATGAGGGATGGTTTCTACTGGATGAGGAAAGGCTAATGCTAAAGACAGTCAGACATTTAGATGATTAGCAGAGCAGCTTCAGTGATCAGGGTGTTTTAATTACAATCCAACAGAAATAGAAAACACATTTTAGATTATTTCCTGCTTTTTCTCCTATTTAAAAACATTTTTCTCCTTGATGTTTTGCTTTAAGACGTTGGCATTATTTTGTTTGTTTAATGTGGCATCTTTACTGCAAACGTAGTATTAGGTAATAGTGTTTATTATTGTGTATTCCATTGCTAAGTTTTACTAATCTTTTAGCTTTAGGATTTGTTTTTTTAAGCATGTGACCTTTCAGCTAATCATCCTTAATAAATATTAGCTTAATTATATTAGCAATTCTTATCAGCAATTAGTAATTTCTTGGTGTTCATTTGAATGTAGCCATGTCATGCTAACTTCTAGCAATTGATTTTATCCAATCACAGGGTTTAAGTTTATTATCATAGAGCTGATGTTTACCATCTTTGGGGGAAAGTATTTCCAATCTTCCCCTAAATTTGCAAAATAATTATTTTCTGTTGCAGGTTTGTTTAACTGTTACATTAAAAATTATAATAAAAAAAACAGTATATCTTTGAATCATGAGATACTGTAAAGAAACACATTAAATACAGCGTTCAAGCACCTCATCCAACATAATAAAGAACCTTCAAAGGATTTTCAACAACTGGAAGCCTGTGGCCGAGCTGCACTCGCTCTTTAAGAGCCAGTTTCTCTGTGTAAGTGCTGCACTTTAATTTGACAACAAGTGGATAACGACACAATGTGTGTCCAACATCGACGAAGAAGTGTGGGCAATTTAGAAACACTTAAAATAAAGTCAATACATCTTTGAAGAATCACAGGGACATTTAAGCTTCGCAAAAATCTCTCAAGTGAGCAAATCCCACCACTGGGGGGCAATGTTGCTTCATTTTATTGATGTGGTTTCTGTAAAGTGGAGCAGAGCTGCTGTGTGTAAATCTACCTGTCCCCATAGAAGAGAACCGAAGCCTAAGAATGTGCACCACAGCCATTGGTCCACAGACAGAGCTACGCAGCTGAAAGGCTTTCCTCCGAACTGCACTATTACGACCTGGAGAAACAGGAAAAATAACATTTTAGGAGAACATTTACATACACATTCGTTAAGTTCACTTTCTTATGATTTTCTTTTTTTTTTTTAAATCTTTTTCCATACCTGAATAATGAAGGTTCCCAGAACGATACTACAGAAGATGAGGTTGTTAAAGATGCCGTCAAAGACGTTCCTTTCGCCGTGGATCTTGCGGGCGTTGATCTCGTTGAAAAGCTGCATCATCACAAAAGTGTTGAAGACGACGGTGTAGTGTTCGGAGGGAGGGGCGTGGAGGGGAGCGTTCCTGCCGCTGTCGATGTCAAACACTTTCTCTCCTGCACAAACAATAACACAGGGTTAACTATTGATAATAATTATGAAATTAATTATGTGGGCAAGGTTTTTGCAAATGTAAAAGTCATGCATAAAGGCTAAAATGCTTTTAGCCTTTTCTGTGCCATCTGTTGGGGAAATGTGGGCATTGCAGGGAAAAGGCTGAAATTTGGACAAGTTTTGGCAGGGCAGATTAAAACGCCAAACGGACCACATCTGGCCCCCAGGCCGTAGTTTGCCCATGCCTGCTGTAGGCTTTTTGATTCAACAAAGTATTGAAAGAATAGGAGTGATGTCAACTAACTATTTGCAAAACCCACAACATTTAAGGACTTTTTAAGGATCCACGGAGACCCTGATGTGGTGGTTTACATGTGATCCGATGGTAAAAGGCACCTACCAGCAAAGAGCAGAGAGAAAATGATGACGAGCTGGTACACCGCCTGGCCCAGGATGTTCTTCATCATGGTGCGGGAGATGAGAGGCTTGTTGCGACCATATGGCTTCCTCAGCAGCAGAGCTTCAGTGGGAGGCTCAGTGGCCAGAGCCAGGGAGGCAAAGGTGTCCATGATGAGGTTGACCCACAACATCTGCACCGCCTTCAGAGGGGAGTCCTGGAGGTGGAGGAGATCACACCGAAGTAGATTAGGTTGGTCAGGGGTCAAACTAGCCCCGGGCCCAACACACACCACGGAGCTGGTTTTGTTATAACCAGATGAAGGGATCACTGTCAGGGATAGCTTTGGGATAGCAAACACTTAGCTTATTTGCTGTTTGTTATCACCTTTATATAACTTTCAAACTTATCTTTTAGTAATTTAGAAATATATTTGGATTTAACAACTTGCATTGCTCACTGAAAGCGGCTGAACATTTTCAGTTCTAGAACACTGAAGGACAACTTGAAACACATGAGAGTTGCTTTATATAAATCTGTCCATACTGGGAGGCTGGAATTTTTTTCCAGTTTTCCTCCTCGTTGTTTTTAGTCTTGGTTGAAATTTTTTTTTTGACACCTTTGATACTCATAACGTGTCTTATAATTTAAATGTGACTCATTCTTCCAGGATCATTCTATGATAAAATCACTTGGTGTCTTTGAGCAGACGTCCTGTGAAAAGCAGATATACGTGCTGAATCAGATTAAAAAAGAAAAATCCAGAAAGAGACATCACGGCTGCGACTGCAGCTCAAAGAGCAGGTCTAATTCACGGTGAAAGAACACGAAGGCTGAGGGAGATGTTGAATATTTAAAAACAAATCCTTGTTCTTCCGCAGAGACACTTAAACTGCTCCATTAGGCGGCAGAACACGGCGCTTTGCGATTAAAACTGACAGATATTAAAAAATCATCAAGCGCCCGTGAAGCATTAATTAATTCGCAGGTACTTATGATTGCTAATGCATGAGGAAATTAAAAGAATATGCCTCACTGGAAATAAAAGTCAATTGCAACGCCACGTAATTCTCTGACATTTTCTTTATTGCACCACGGGTCAGTCGGTGCTAACCTGTGTGATGCAGGCCCCAGTAAACGCCACAATGACCGCCACCACGTTGACCGTCAGCTGGAACTGCAGGAATTTGGAGATGCTGTCGTAGACGTTACGCCCCCACATGACGGCTTTGACAATGCTGGAGAAGTTGTCGTCGGTCAGGATGATGTCGGACGCTTCCTTGGCCACGTCTGTGCCAGCGATGCCCTGGAGGCACGAAGAAACAAATGAGAGATCTTTATATTTATTCATTACGCTTTTTTCTCATTTTGTCAAAGTAAAATATACAGTTAGGGCTGAACAATGTTTCCCACACTGCGTTTCCACAGGCGATGGATCTAAATTGCTTTTTTTATCTAATAATTTTTTTCCCCAGCTTTTCTGCCCTCAGGCAAATTATGTAACGGCTCCTTTAAAGATGCAAAATTAACTGTAAATGAGAGAAGACTATGAAAATTAAAACTCAATTTATTTCAAATTTCTTCATTAACCAACACATAAAAGGTGATTAGGATTAATGACAGGGTGCCGGACACAGGTTGTGCATTGATGCAGTATCTGTGTCTGCCATGTTCCTTAACAGGGGGCCACCTAGTGGACTGAAAGTTTTATGCAACCTGGAGCAAGCATCGATGTAGTCACAAGTGGACGTGAAAGTTGTAGGCAGTCAACTTCAGAGCTCTACTGGACAGAGTGTCATCTGCATACACAGAAAGCACGATGTCTGCCCTAGTTTTTACAATGTTATTTTCATACCAACATCATCTGAAAATATGCTCTACTATACTATACAAAAAAGTCACCATTGCAAATCCAACGTCGGCTTTCTTCAACGCGGGGCCGTCATTCGTGCCGTCGCCAGTCACTGCCACAACTTGTCTCTGCTCTATCACTGTGCTGTCAATTATACCTGGAATAAACGAACAAAAATGTTGCTAATTAAAGCCAAACGTCCTACAGATTCAAGGAAGTTTTGCTTAGAGCAACAACCCACCTACCTTTCACCAAAGTGTGCTTGTCTGTGGGTGAGGACCGAGCCAGTACTCGCAGTTTGGGCCAGATCTTGTCAATGCGTTCTTGTTCAATCTAGAAACACGAGAAGACAAAAACCCTCATAGCATCCCAGCAGTGCATCAGCAGCACCCCCAGAGAAAGAGAATTCTTGCCGCGGCCCACCTCTCCCTTTTCGTTGCGTATCCTTCGGTTGACCTCTTCCCCTTCCAGGCACAGGAAGTCGTCTCCGGGCAGCAGGATGCCACACTTGGTGGCGATGGCTCTGGCCGTGTTGATGTTGTCCCCAGTCACCATTCGCACCGTGATGCCAGCACGCTGGCATTTCCTGATGGCTTCTGGGACCTAGTGGAAAGAGGAAACACAATTAGGGAGGAAATGCGTGTTGTTTCTGAGCGGATCACAGGGGATTTGGAAGTCAGGAATCAGTTCAGCTCGAACGGGACTTTTTAAAAGTAAAAAACATTACTTCCTGTCTGGTTAAATTGTAAACATTGCAGCTGTAATTTGCCAGCCTTATAGTGTATACACTATGGTTGAGTTTTACAAAGAGTTTCTTTTATGTTTGCCAAGTATGTTTTGGCTAAAATTATATTTTTTGGAGTAATTTCTGAAAATCATTCATTGAATCGTTTAAATGTTTTTTAATGTATTTTTACCCCGGCATTTTGGCAAAGATATTTGAAGGTCAGCTAAACCAAAATCATATAACGCTTGTAGCTTCTCACCTCGGGTCTAACGGGGTCTTCGATGCCCACCACGCAGATGCAGGTCAGACCACTGAGGATGTCGTTCTCGTTGTCCCAGTCAGGTTCACCTTCAGAAGCAGGAAAATCTCTGTAGGCGAGGCAGATGGTCCTCAGGCCCTCGGACGCCATGGGCTCAATGACTTTCTTCACCATGTCGTCTCTGTCTCTGGGGCGAAACACTTTGGGCTCCCCGTTTGCTGTTAGGATTTTGTAGCACCTGGGAAAGAACAATGACAAATTTAACATGAAGCAGAAATGAAAGAAGAAACAACAACTCCCTCGAGTGACAGTTTCATGGTTCAATGGTTCTTGCTCTAAAGGTTTAGGCTGATCAGTTCTCATGGTCTCCGCTGTCTGAATCTCTTCTATGATTTTTATCAACAGGAAACCAATGTGCACTCCAAGGCTGAGTAAGGATGTGCATTCTTATCTTAAATGTTGATAAAGGTTTTGTGCAAAGCTAAGCACAACATGGTAAATGATCTGAGCCTTTTTTTTGACCCTATCAAAGGAAAAATATCTGTTCCATGTTGTCTTTGTCAAAATGGAACAGTTTTCAGAGTCAATGCTAAAGTTAAGTAGTAAAAGATAATAAAGTACATAAAACTTTAGAGAAAGTGAAAGCGACATCAAGGTATTTTAAAAAGTGAGCTGAAGTAGGGAGGAGTAGCACTAAAACTATGGGTAAACAGAAGATGTTTTTGGCTCGTTTTCTAATCCTTTTTTTTATAAGTTTGCAAAGTTAAGTGTCCTGTGTGGGATGCACTTGAACCCCTAGCTGCTTAAGCTGGAGCAAATATCCTTTACTGCAAAGTTCTGCCAGCTGGAACAAACTCCAACACCCACAGAACCACCGTTTCTACTGATTACCATTTTTGAGCTTCTTACTTTCTCAGGAGAATTTCCGAGGCTCCTTTGCTGAACATGCGGTAGCTGCCGTCAGCCAGCTTTAACACACTGCTCATGGACTTGCGGACTGAGTTGAAGGTGTAAACTTTGTACAGTTTCTCCTCGGGGATCTCATTGCGGATGGTCTGGTAGTCGCGCTTCAGGTCCTTAGAAAAGCCGAGCAAGGAACATTCAGTCTTGTTGCCCACCTGCCGTGGCAGGCCACCCTCTTTCTCTGGAGGCTAAGGAAACAAAAACAACGAGGTTAAGAAAAAAAAACAAAACACACCAATAATTAGGAAATTGGTGTCAAAAAACAGAACCCTACCAGTATCTTTGTGGTGTAGGCGCAGTTGACGGCAATTCCTAAAATCAGAATATCTAAAATGGAAGGGGTGATGTTCTCCGGTTCTGGGACTTTTTTGTAGTACTTTTCAGCAATGTAGGCCTGCACCACGGTCATGCGGTTCATCGTCAGAGTACCGGTCTTGTCAGAGCAGATGGCCGTAGCATTTCCCATGGTCTCACAGGCATCCAAGTGACGCACAAGGTTATTGTCTTTCATCATTTTCTGTAGAAATACAGAGAGATCGATCAGTATTCAATCATCAGCCATTGCAGTGGCACATATCGGGCTGATGGGGGCAGATATTCACCTTCACGGAGTAAGCCAGGGAAATTGTCACAGCGAGAGGTAGACCTTCAGGAACGGCCACCACCAAAACAGTGACGCCGATGATGAAGAATTTCACAAAAAACTGGACGTAAATGGGGGTGCAGTCCTTGTCCCAGGGCAGGTTCTGGATCCAGAAGGTGTCCACCACAAATAGCACCACCAAAATGATGACAGTAATGGCCGACATAACAAGTCCTGGAAGGAATGAGGCGGAAAAAAATGAGGGAATCATAAAAGTTGAAGAGCGTGCGGAGCACTGAGGCTGTATTCCTCTGACTCACCTGCTTTGCCAATCTGTACGGCTAATTTGGTCAGTTTGCCCTGGAGGACGGACTTCTCTTTCTTTGGAAGGTTGGATTTTTTCTTCTCTTCTGCATCGACTCCCTCCTCGCTGTTCAGCGGCTGCATTTCCATCGCTGCACCGTCCTGTGCTTTAGCTGCAGCAGATTTTAAGTAGAAAAAAAAAAACGTACAATGTCATAGGAAACAGACAGAGTGATATTTCGAGACTTGTTCAATTTTTCAGATAAAAAGGAACTTGTTTTTTTGAAGAACAGAAGTGTCACATCCTTTTTGTTCCTCCAACCTTTTTAAACATGGAACTGAGGAAATGTCACTGTAACGTTTACAGTGATCTGACAACGCCGTAATTAGTCGAAAATTTAGAAGTGTAATTACTAACCTCCGCCCATTGAGATTTAAAGAAGCGATTAACTTGTTAACAACAATGAGATCAGTGTGATGAATCACTTCCTTCTGTGTTGCCAGTTGAATTCCCACAGATCAGATAAATCCCCAGCTCAGCTACCCATAGGAAGACTATCATAGAGACACGGGTGGTATTTATAGAAAGTGGCCTCTAAAAAGCCACAGTTTGAAAACCTGAGGTATCGACGTCAAACTAATTCAGACATTTTTTTTTCTTAATCCCAGATTCCGGTAAAGCCCAACCCTGGTGAGGAATTTATTTTTTTCTTGACATTTTTCAACATCACAAATAAAAACATCTACCAGTTGTACTTTGTCTTTCTATTCCAGCAATATGTACAACACATACAATACATATATAGGAATGTTGATTTATCTGGATTAATAATGAATAATCATGATTATTCCACAGCTACCCTGTAACTAATAGGATAAGAAATGTAATTGTTCCACAGCTACAGTTATTTGAGGAGACAGTGATGAAAAGCAGTGCATCGTCAGCAAACATGATGACACCAAGGTTATTTCTAAACACTAATCAAACGTTAAAATGTGCAAAACGGTATTTGTTCATTCATAATTGAATATTGTGATTCCAATACAATTAATTAGATGGTGTTGATACAAATGTTAATCATTTCTCAGGTAGTAAAAAACATCCTTAAATTTATAAAACATATAGAAATATTTAATATTTAAACTACAGAAGATTTTCATTCAATTTCATTTTGTCCAAAATGCTGTACGTAGCTTAGCATTTATGTGGATATTGGTATTGAGTTTGACTGTGTGGTCACTCTAACAGGGCTGCATCACCACCACAGCAACAACATTATGTGGTGAGGACAGTGGTGGCACAGCTCTTTGTGGAAATGCACGCAGCAGACAGAGGAGTGGTATTTACACTTGGCTCCTGCAGCTGCTGTGGACTGCGGCTTGTTCGGCACTTACATGGCCTATGTAATCTCAGTCTAAAGGATTACTGTTGAATCCTGGCAGGGAGAGTGAGTGTATGAGCCAGGGTTGTGTTCACTGACCGAGTGCACTGCTGATCACGGTGTTCCAGGAGGTGTAGTGTCCTGGTTTGCTGTTGGATTCAACTCTTTCCAGCTGCAGTGCTATTATCATTGCCAATCTGACATTTCAACAGTGCAAGAGTTGCAGTTTGACATTAAATAGTTCAGGCTGGGACATGAGAAGAAATCAGATTTCAGGAAACTACGGAGAGTGAGAAACGGGTGGGAAAGCAGATGTTGTGGCCCCACAATTGTTACATGGCTTTAATCTCTACATCACTAATCGCTATAACTGGATTCGGTGGCACCTGCTGCTCGACGCGCAATGTGCCAGGCAAGGACGACAAAAGAGGGGAGAGGGAGACAGACAGGAGGGAGGAGAACACGGCCGGTAGGCAGGAACATCTCGTACCAAGTGTACACTGACACAGGGTCAGGGCTAAAGTATGCAACTCCTCATTACTTCCATAAAAGCACTGGAGTTAATTATTAATAGACTGAGGCTTAACCTACATCCAAGGCTGTTTAATATAAAGGAGACACTCCTTAAGGTCAGGGCTAAGACAAAGACGTAGGGATGGATGTGTCCTAGTTTTAGCAACTTACCTTTCTTTCGGTTTTCAACAGATCCATCCTGTTTTTTATCTGTTGGGGAAAAAAACACCAAGGAATGAGGCTTAATTTAATAGTTTAGATTCCATTTACCATCGTACAGTTGTCAAAATCATTTTGGTTCATATCACGGAATTGATGTCGTGTGGGCCGGATCAGTAGAACCATATTAAAATTAACTATAAATAGCAATAAGTTCTTTTTTTTAATAAGTAAAAGCAAATAACATATGTATTATTATTGATACATATTTGATTAAATATAATTTCACAAAAAATATTTTTAACATGAGGAGTTTTTTTATTTTCAAAATTCATCAAGCGGGCCAGATTTAACACTCTAGCGGGCCACTTTTGGCCCACGGCCCATATGTTTGACACCCCTGCATTACACTGAAATAGAAAAAACAAATTACTCTAATTTAAAAAAAAGAGCAGAATGTGTTTAATTACCAGGACAAGGATCTAATAACAGATATTTTTTTAAATCCAGTTATTATAATTAGTTTTATTATTATTTTGTTAGAAAAACTGTCAGACCTTTTAGCAACCGTGTAGATGGTTAAACTTGTTTGGTTATTTTTATATTAGATAGTAAAAAATAAATGGACCACTATCACACACACTGTAGAGGTTTACGCATAATTAGTGGCCCACATTTGATGTGCACCACGTAGACCACATCTTTAACCTTTCCAGCTCTGCTGCCCCTAAATGTGAATATTTATATCCTGCCCACAGGACATGTTTATCTGGCCTCTTTATGTTCAAGAGAAGAGGCATCAGTGGGTATAATAAAAGTCATGAAAAGGTGGCACTGACTCTTTTTCTGTTTCTTCTTCTCCTCCTTCTCCTTTTTCTTCTCCTCCTCATCCTCGTCCTCGTCGTCGCCACTCCCGAGCAAAGTGAAGATAATTCCAGTTTGAGAGTTGACACCCACAGCAGTGACCACCATTTTCCCTGAGCCTTCCATTACATGAGTGCCTTCAGACAGAGGAGGAAAATAAAATGTGAGTCAATAAGGAAAAAGAGGGAGAGGCTCTACACTCAACCAGGCTATTTGATTTTTCCAGGATTACGTAGGCACCGTCTATTTTTTAACCCAGGAGAACCGAATAGAATATGTCATCCTTACACGTCACTCTTTTTTTTCACTTTAGGTAATTCCCCGAGTTTACATCATTTGAACTTGCATACAAAAAATACAGTAAATGAATTCACAAAATCTGTAAAAAATATCAGGCTGAAAATGATGCTCTGACACTAAACGTTAGTTGTCTTCCCAGTCTATTTTCATTTAACCCATCGCTGGCCAGACCTAAATCTAACACTCTGGCATAAAATTTGTTTTTCACAGCTTCACTAATGGGTAAAATATGTATTCAATACACTGTCAAAAAGACAGTGTATAAAAGCAATACAAAAAGAATTTAAAAAGACTAGATTTTCCACTTACACAGCCTCAACTGTCCACTGTCAACAGCTTTTAAAGGGCAGAGATGTAAATTTCCAAGCCGATAAATAAACACAAAAGGGCAATGATAAAAGTACCTTTCGGCCCTTTAATCAATAGCACCAGCCTTTAATCAAAAGCCAATTGTTGCCCTGCCTCAGACGGTCTGTGCAAAGCTTAATATCCATGACTCTCCGTTGGTGCTGCATATCAAGGTCAAATCTGTCAAGTTATGCAGATAATTTATCCAGAGAAATGAGATCAAAACTGGTGTGAGAATGAACATAAAGACTGAGGAGCCACTCAAATGTTCGCCCGTGTTTATTTTAATTAGAGGATGCTCTCCTTTCATTAGTGAGAGTGATGGCAGAAGAAGCACAGCCAGGACTCGGGGGGAATCAAACAGCGTACGAGGAGCAACACAAAAATCGCTCCGTCCACAAAACCTTTCAATAACATCAAATTTCACTGGGAAACACCACGACATTTTTTAGGAAAAAAAAAAGTCATTTTTCCTGCCCTACCTGATAACAGCATTGGATCTTTTTCTTGTGTTTTCTTGACATGGTCTGACTCTCCTGTGAGCGAGCTCTCATCAATCTTCAGATCGTTTCCTTGGAGTAAAACTCCATCAGCAGGCAAAAGATCACCTGAGAAAATACAAACACGTTTTCTTTTTTTCTTGCACATTAATCCTAATTGACAGATTTAATCTTCACCGCCTGTAAAACATGCAATAAACGACTATGCTGTTTAATTTAATAACCCAATTAAGAGCTCTCTCTACCGTACTACCTACCGTATTTTATTTGTGCAATGTCGCCGACCACAATATCAGCCACAGGAATCTGGATAACTTGTCCTCCGCGAACGACAGTGAATTTCTGTTCCTGCTCTATGCGGCTCTGGAGGCCCCGGAACTGCTTCTCTTTACTCCAGTCGTTAAACGCCGTCACCAGCACCACGCAGATAACTGATAGAAGGATCGCCGCTCCCTCAATCCAGCCCGCCTCTGCCTCGTTTTCATCCTCCGCACCTCCAGCAGCCCTTCCACAATCTGTACAATAAAAAAAGGACACATTTAGAGCATGAAGCAGCCTTTAAAACAGCCACATTAACTTTTATCACATCACCTTATAAATAAGACCAGAGGAGTTTGGGGAAAGAATACAAAGACGATAAAAGGAGAAATTCAATGAGGTGCTTACTTTCTCTTTTGGCATCTGGAGGTTTATAAAAAGAAAGGCCTAGTGATACTATGGCTGCCACTTCCAGGATAATCAGCGTTACGTCCTGCAGTGCCTCCCAAACTAACTGTAAGAAAGTCTTGGGCTTTTTAGGTGGTATCAAATTCTGCCCGAACACTGTTATCCGCTTCTCGATGTCTGTAGGCTGTCCGCTTAGACCTGGAGAGAAGAAACAGAAGAGAAAAATATGTAAGTGGATGAGTCAGAAACACTAGAACTAGGACATTTGCTATTATCAGTTCTCAAACTATGGTACGTGTACCACTCATGGTCCTTGGGCTCTCCTTAGTGGCAGGCAGGGAAGTTGGATTCTCATTGTGTTCTGTTGTGGTTTCTGAACTGAATGGTCGAGTGGTGGCGCTACTTCAACGTGGTTCTGTCTAATTAACAGGCCAATCATCTAATTAATAATAAACTGCTGTGTTATGAGCTTGGTCACAATGGTAGAGACAAGTATTTTCAGAGTACTTGAAAAAAAAAATTATTTCAGAACCACTAGGTTGGTAGTTAAAGTAAGAGTGGCCTTTAAGAGTCAAGGACCCACAGTGATCTTCACCATCATTCAGTGTTATATTCTCATTAGCTTTATGGCTAATTGGCTAACAGGTTGGTTTCTGACCAGAGTTTGACTAATGAGAACAGTTTGTATTGGAAAAAGAGGAATGTTACTTGATGTTACTTGTTAAAAGTCTGGGTTAGGACAGGGGGAAAAAAAAATCTGCTAAATGACTGTTAATAAGGCCACCCCAGGAAGAAGCTGAAAGTAATTCCTCTTTTATAAATTATTTTGATGTGTTGTATTTATAACATTTGTAGTTGGAGTAGTAGAATAATTTAATAATGTTCAGTTTTGTGATTACAGCTTTTTGTCTGAAGATACCTTAAGGTTTTTTACTTCCTTTTTCAACATTATTCTTTATCTAGGTTGTATTTTTATTCCTATATTAAGAGTTAGCAATATAACCCTCAAACCTTTAATCTGTTTCTCTTGATTTAAACAGGAAATATATATATATATATATATATATATATTCTGATTACACCAGAAGAGCTGTGCACTTCTGCATCACTCCAGTTTAAAGATAACTGCTGCAGCTTCTGATCTACAGCCAAACCGGAGCACTGTGTTTACACTGACTTTGTATTTTCTCTAAAAAGGAAAGAGCGCTCGTCGCTGACTTTATGAAAACACAGCCCCCTACAAGGAGTCAGTGTTTCTCCTAAACAGAAACGGCCGAGGCAACAATGGTGAACATCAGCGTGACACATTCGTGGCCACGTCAAACATAGTCACCTCTTTTTGGTGTGTTGTGAGAACAGAGGTCAGGGCCAATCTTCTATGAAACTGCTGTTTGCAGTTTCAAATACAAAGACTGAGCGACTGGAGAGGTTCAACCAGCTCACAGTCACTACCCACTGTCCCTGCCACGGGGACTTCTCTCTTACACCCTGCTGTGCCTGACTGGCCACAGAGCCATTGATCCCTGTGTGCAGACAGATCTATGTGCAGCCAGCCACCCATTCAAATGGCTCCACATTCGAGCCACGGCCTTATATTCAAAAGGGCCTTCGCACATTTGATGATGCATGACAGTTTTTCAGGTCTATTCATGCTGACTGACTGACTGACTGACTGACTGACTGACTGACTGAGCGTGGGCGGCCGTGCAGACTGGATAGAGTACTGCGTGTGTGTGCGTGGATCAGGGAGGAGCGACTATGTGAAACTGCCACTAACAGACGGACGGGGGTGAGTGGGTGGCAGTCGAGGGGGTGAGAGTGCAAGGATCTGAGGCTATTAAAAAATAAAATTACCAACGGCAGAAGAAAAGCCGCACTGCAACAGGAATAACTGCATCCTAATGTGAACAGACAGACCCAGGGACGTGGACACACACACACACACACACGCCTAATACAATACCAATGGTGACGCATTTCAGCAGTGGAAACAGCACACGGAGTGAAGGTACAGCGTTCATCTGGGAGTAAGACGGGTCTTTTCTCATGAGACGATTTTCACACAACCTCCGTGTCCTGATTATACCAACCGCCTCGATGCAGCAACTGATAATTAGTTGCACTATCGTTTGATCTCATGTCTTTATTAGAGAGTCCTTTGATCCACAAAATGAAGTCAAGTAAAAACTCCATCCTTAGCTTTCACTGAATGAATGTATTATGACGAAGTTGGTGGTTTCTTTAGAAGACAAGAGCGCTGCAATTACTCATTACTGCGGTGACAAATAATCCCATTCGATATTGCATTATTTGTCATTTTTTTCTAACACCTAAGCTATTAATAATTAATGGTAATCATTTAAAATCTAATTTAGATTTCACAAGTCATTTAGTGCTCAAACTTAAGATCTGTTCAACTGACAAACAAAAGGCAGTGTTGCATTCACCGTCATAGGAAAAAATGGCTAGCAGCACAGTTATCCAATACAATTTGCTTTGATGCAAGATTAGCACTCGAAACTTGAAGTCATTTGGGGACAGCGACTCTCCACATTTGAAGATTTAGTTGCCTACGTGCAGGTTGCCAATACTTTCCAAACACCTAATTTCCGATTGTGAAATCAGCCGATACCAATATAGGCCTGGTAATATTTATTTATTTACCTGTACAAACCATTGTATGAGTATGAGATTAATTCAATGAGCTGCAATGCTGCCATCTAGTGATTTTCACTTTAACATACAGCCATTTATCCCCAAAACTATTTTTAGGGCAGACATCATTTGGTCAAAACCAAGGCATTGGGTTATTGGGTTTTCATTATCGGAGGAAAAAAAACAAAACGATTCTTACAGATACTACATAATGCTAATTTCATGCTAATTTCGGGCCGATATTATCGGATATCCATACTTCTAACTCTTGATAGTTTGGATAGTACCAACTTTTAATATATTTGGCAACAACTAAACAACTAATTGTTCCAACCCTTATTTGGATAGCAAGTTGACACCAACATATCCAATCAGCTTTAAATAATGGAAAGCCACTCTGTGGATTATCCACAGACAAAAGGTTTGTGTAATTGTGTAGTCAGTGTGTTGTTACAGGGCTGCTAATGTGATCACACGCTTAATCCTACTGAAACTGACTCGAGTCAAGTATTTATTTACTATGAAGGAAAATGTCCTCGGCCTCATCTGCTCAGTTGAACAAATATGCGGTGTAATTTAACATTTGAACTCTGATCCCCTGAGCTTTTACAGATTAATCTGAACTACAGATTACCAATTTTCATTAAATGAACATCGCATCTCTAGCTAATGTTTGTTCCACTGTTAGAATCACAGAATAAATATCACAAAGAGATAGAAAAGAGTTAGCTAAGAATGTAGAAAAAATTCCAAAAATTTCAGCAAAACACCAGAGGGAAGCTTTAAATAAACAGGTACAGCAGCGTTAAATACAAAAATAGCTCGAAGATAACAGAGGTATGGCTAACTGTTAGGCGAGATATGAGCGTCTCGACATACAAGTATTTCGAGATACGAGCAAGCCTTCGAGCAAATTTTTGCTTCGAGATGCGAGTTAAGATTTGAGTATATACTATAATTTTTTTGTGTGTATGTCTCTTTTTAAAAAATGTTTTTTACATCGTTATAAGCACCAATGAAGGTGTTTTTTAGAGGGCCGGAAATGATTTTTTTTCTTCTGTTATTTCTTACGGGAAATAATGATTCGAGAAACGAGCTCAGTCCTGGATTATTATTATTATGATAATTAAACTAGTATCCCGAGGTTCCACTGTAATAAGAAAAAGAAAATTAAAAAAATTGAAATAAAAGGATGAAACGCATGAAACAACTATCAAAAAATACCAATAACAATTTTAAGAAAGAAACTGTCACACGTGGACGGTGGAGACCAAACACAACATTGAATGCAGCCTTTAAGCTTCCGCTCAAAATGTATGCCTGGATCTCATTTGGAACAGGTACCAGTCAATAGCAATTTTTCAACCTTCAGCCAACAAATATTTTTTTATGTAGGCAGAGAACGACAGCCATGAGTCACCATCAGCAGAACATGAAAAAAGCCAGGGAGGATTATCCTGTAGAGCTGCCTGTTGCTGCTCACCGGTCGTCTCTCACTGTCTGCTTTGATTCTCCACGTCTCTAATGAAACCTTGCTGACAGCTTCCAAACCCCACCCATCCCCTCATTACATTAAACACCACATTATCTCTTCGCTTTAGTGCAATAATTTCAAGCGGCAGAGGATGATGATCATCAACACAGTGTCTCTCTGTTGGGTACACAAACAGAAAAAGGGTTGGCCTTGGCCCACCTCGCATCTTTTTAGCACCCGTCATTGGTCTCCAGTCAAACAGCTAATCATTAACCGTTTAATTTGGATTTCTGTCCCTGGCTGACCTCCTTCATTGTAGTCTCATTTTAGCTGCCCCTGTAAAGGGGCTTCAGCAGAGAAAACAGGGTTACAGTCGCTGTTCCTTCTGTCCACGTAAGAATTTGGCATAAAACGAGAAATGGGTCAAAGTCCCTCAGTGGACAAGCTATTTAAAGACAACCTGCAACAGACAAAGTTCCAACTAGTACAAAGTGAGTAACATTTATACACCATGCACTGAGCAGAAAGCCCCCAGCCTCATTACACACCGTAACTTCATACACCTGACCACAGTACAGCCCTTAGCATACGAGTTAAAGAACCAACGTTAACACATACCTCTGTCCTTTTGGACAATTTCACCCTGTTAAGGTACCGAAAAACAACGCTGCTCAAACAAGAAACGAGGAGGGATATTATTACAACCGGAGGCATCTAACTAAACTACTAAGAAGTTAGGGGACAGTAAAAAAAGTCAATAGATGATAAAATCATAATGTTTATAGCTCTCATTGACCAGCTTTTTTTTTTTTTTTTTTGCGGGTGAAAACCCCAAGACTATGAATCATCATCAACAACAGCACCTTAGAACCCTTATTTTACGCCATCAAGTCAGGGCATCTTGCCCCAGAGCAGTACGAGGACCTTTGAACTTATTCTGGTTTCAACTGCCCATTTACCACACTGAGAAAATACCAACATTACTGGAGAATGTTGCATGTATTATATTTTTTGTACTGTACGTGCTCGACAAATTTGACAAATGTGCGGAAATACAACTCAGTAAATTCCTATAATGTATCCACACAAATCTCCTTTGACCAAGCTTAGGGTCCAGACCCAATCCATGGGCCATGGGACTAATAAATCTGACGAGCTAAAATGCTCTCGTCCTCAAGGGGTTTTCTATCAGGGCATTTTGGTTGCTATTGCTTATCTGCAGATTCTTCACTGATGAGGTCACGGGCCTTAATAACTTCATAGAACAAAACGATACAACTTTAGCTCCATTGATAATCACATCTGTACATATTACTTCTTTTTTAATTTGTAGCACAAACATTACTGACTTAATGGATTCAAAAGTACCTAAATATGTTTGTGCTGGAGCATAATACATTGTTAGTTATTCAAGTAAGCAGAAAATGACACCATTTAAATTGTTTTTCTATTTTACAAAAATTCTATGACAAGAGTTCACAGCTCAGACTACTGTAACTCCTCTACGGCACATGAGGAAACGAATAAAACCAAATGTTTAGACAGCCCAAATCTCCTGTTCCCAGTAAACTCTCTAAGCTCTATAACCAATTCAGAGTCTGGCCATAAGTGTTCACTCACAGGCTGAGGTTTGTCTAAACACATCATTCCGAACACAGACAAGAGAAGCAGCACCAATCTCCCCTGAGTCACCAAGAATAAACCATTATTCTAGAGTCTGGAACATGTACCTGAAACATGCAGAGCGCCTGGTCGGCTCTTGAACTGCAGAAGAATCTTAGCCCCCAGTCAATTGGATCAATAGGCTGTAACCCAAACATTTGACTCCGGAAAAAAAAAAAACAGCAATCAACAGGGGAATAATTGTGAAGGCAGAAAATGGGGGAACAATGTCAATAGTATCGATGCAGGATGGCCTTCCTATTTGAGAGGTCTCATTATGCAGAGGGACCGTGAGGGTCCCATTGAGAGTAAAGAAATGCTGGAGTGTGAGCAGTGACGTTTCTGAAAATATTGACGTTGCTGTTTCTTTTTTTCCTTGTTTTTCAGACAGCAGAGACAAACCGCCTCCACGCGTCCATTTAAAATATTATCTATAGTATTCACAGAGACTAGAGTTGACTAAACCACCGTTTCCCAAAGACTGGGTCGTAACCCTCAGGTGGGTCGCAAGAGATTTTTTTTTGGGGGGGGGGGGTCATCTCGCATCACGTTTCCCAGGAGTTTACGAATAATCTAATAGTCTATTGACTTGGGGCGCTGATTGCTGAAGAATTGTGCAGATAGGATGGAATTTTAGTGATAATTTACAATGGGATTAATTGTAATTGTTAATTGTCTGTTGTTTTGACATTTTTAATGTAAGTAACTGCCTGTTGGCGTTTTTGTTTACACTATGTTGCATATTGTCATTCATATGACAGGAAATACTTTTTTTCATGCAATCAAAAATATGATTTTTTTTAAACTAATTTCTTTTCTGTAGCTGCAAAAAAAAAGAGAAAGATAAAAGATAAGCAGAAAGAAATGTAAGTGGTAAACCTAACAACAGATGAACAAAGCAGGACTTTCAGGAACTGGTAGAGATATGTAAAGAATCCAAACTATGGAAACAAAGCGTGCTTGACAAGTATTACCAAACGTAACAAACCAAATGAAGGAACAGACAAAGAGGGAAAGATGTGTAAAGGGGGGAAAAAAGTATCAGTTTGGGTTGGGTTTATTGGTGATTTATGCTCTCTGAGATTCAGTTGTTACGTTAGTGCATAACTTTGACTGGGTTGATGGTTTACATCTGTCAAACAGACAAATGTTACATTGGAATAAGCTCTAAGGGAAAGAAATAAAAATACTAAAATATCACTAAAACTAAAATTAGTGCGACCAACAGCCAAAGAATTTGAAAGGATACAATGGTATCGAAACAAAAGGAAGTTGCAAAACCGTAGTAATAAATAAGAGATTAAACCTTTTTTTTTTTTGTGTGGCTTTTTGTCAAAGAATCTTCAGATAAATTTAGAAAAGTCAAATGAACAACACAACATGTTGTGCCACAAGGTTTGCTACTATTAATAATGTAACATCTCTACCAGTTGGCGTCTTTGCTATATTTCTGACAAACATAAATATTTTTAGCAGCTGTGATGTTAATAGATTAAAGACCCAAACACTAGCAGGGCATTAGGTGTTTCTTCAAGGACAGTTGTGATGTTTTGCCTTTGGTCAGAATATATTTTTTCTTTCCATTTTTTTTGGGCAATGCACGCAGAAAGACTGGTGCTGCTACAGTGGAAGTGTGTTGGTTTTTTAAATCTGGGATCACACTGAAAATCCCCTCCCGTAAGAGTTCAGTCAAGGTCACACTGGCGATTAGGGAGACGGTCCACAGAGACAAACTGTGACAGAAAATAGTAGAGGACAAAACAGGAAAAAAAAAAAAAAAAGTGAGTGGTACTGCCATCCGCCGCTGCCCCAGTGCAGCCTTCCTGTAGCCTAAATGCTAATCTACAACTGTCAGCAGGGACACATCCATTTCCCACAGTGAGCAGTTGGATTTTGCACCACACAGGGGACACTGAAATGTTCAACACCAGTACAAACCTGCTGTAATGGCCTGCCAGACAGCTGGTCTAACCTAAGCCTACATACAGGACACACGCGCACACACACACACAAAAGGGTGAAAAGGAAGAGAAAGGTGGGGCGATGAGGGGGACATTTCCACATAGGCCTTATAATAGAGCAGGACTGGCCCGGATCAGAGCCAGCCAGCCAGCCACCTGTCTAGTATAAGCGTTTTCCGAGGAAGTGATGTCAAGGTATTCACAACGTGGATGACACGCCAGTGAAATGCCTTCTAGACTACATGGAAACCACATCAGCCGTCCAAAGAACACATCCTGTTTTACATCCAGTGAAACAGCAATTGTCATGTTGAGTGTTGTGAAAAATTTACCATCTATTGGTGACGTTTTTAATCGGTTGCAGAGTCCTTGAGTATCCCCGTAAGATTCTCCAATTTTGTTCAGGGCCTCAGCGCCCCTCAGTTCCATAAGAGAGCGCAGTTCTTTGAGGTTGCAGCCAAACTCTCCGTCATGGTTGGCCTCCACCAGGGAGTTCTTCACCCCGCTGTACGAGTTGTTCGCCATCGTCTCAGCACCTCCCCACTCTGTTGCAAAGTGCAGGAGTTTTCTGGGTTTTTTTTGTTTGGTTTTTTGTTTGGTTTTTTTAAAGTGGGGAGGTAAAAAAAAAAATCAAAAGAAAGTAGTCCTGGAAAAACTTAAATCCTCAGGAGTGCAAACCAATTATTAGTTCCCATAAATAACTGGCAGGTTCTTTACAGGCAGTGGAAGTCATAAGTCAGGTAGCCAAGTAGGGGTATTAGAAAAGAAGCCATTTCCCTTGGAGAGCTGAGATCCTAGACTCTCATGGCGACACAGGATCACCCACAGAGCCGGAGATCACAATGCATGTAGATCTGAAAGAGAAAACGGAAAAGGTTTAGAATTGCTGTTGTTTTAATATTTGCTCATTTTACTTGTATTTAAAATTATGGATGGCTTCATTGTTTATGGGGTGGGGGGAGGCAATAATGTTGCAATATTTTAAGTGCCAATAAAGGAGCACTAATGACAGTAACGAGATGAACACTTAGCTGCACGGTCCTACCGTAAACCTCAGGTGTTTTACAACCCTGACCTGTTTTGTAACTCCACAGTTTCCTTAGGTCAAAATAGGATTAATGAGCCTTGAACTGCTGACAGATGTAGGACATTTGTTTATAGCATGTTTTTACAAGTGTAAAATAAAAACTGGGGCTGCACCTTTAACCCATTATTTTCAATCAAGAGTTAAAGACAACTGTAGCCTTTAAAAAAAAGCATTTATCTGCATTTTTATTTATTGTCTCAGTTCTCTTATATCCTGCAAACCTGGTATCCCTTATATGACGCAAAAAGGACGTTTCTTATCGATACAACACTTACATTCAATGCAAAAGGTTTTGCTGCAAGACACAAATTAGTAAATTAAAACATAAATAATAAATTACAAATTCCCTAATGACAGGAATACTTTAATCACATCCCACCACTAACAAACACAATCATTATAGCTCAGACTCTAGAATACCCACAGTTGACCAAAATTATTCACTTTTGGAATCAAACCAACAACCGCTTTAGTTAACTGCTCCACCAGCTAAGGCACGGCCGTCCTAATCAATATGTTGTCTGCTAATGTGCACTCTGCTCCTCCTCATCGGTCAGAGTATGTTAGGAGGACGGTGCGTTGGTGCTCAATAATCAGTCTGCTCTGAGTGGCTCCCTGGGCTTTTCCTGTTATACCAATTTAAAAGTTTAACATTTCCTCTTTACAGTGTTGTCACAGCAAACTTCAATCTTCCAGCAGCTGTTTCTGACCCGAAGTTTACGTGAGCTTTTTTTTTTTCATTTCCATTTGTATTCATGTTTTCGTATAGGACTTCATTTATCAAACATGACACAAATTAACCGGCTTGTTTATCATTTTCTTCAGAGCAGTAATCAATTAAATAATTATAGATAATAGTAGAGTGAACTACACAACACAATTCTGGTGGTTTGACATAAAACGGAAGACTATTAAGATTCTTTCTCGTATCACAATGCTTTTGATGCGCTGTCCCTGGTACTGAAAAAGAAGATATAGCCAAAAACTGGGGGAAAAAAATGAACCATATGTTTCAGCTGTAGAATACCATTTGATGGAAGTGCACTGATTCTCAGTCCTGCATAGGCTGGACATATAGTAGCTTGGAGCAACGTCCCATAAATGTGGTTTATTTTTCTGACTGATTACACCCACATGTCACCGATAAGGGGAAACAGCCTTCTTGCTAATTATGCATATTACTTGTACATTGATTTGCAAATATACACTTTTTTTTACAGATTACACTTTCCCCATTATTGAAGTTTCCCGTGACCTGACCATTTACTGTACAACGTTCAGTGTAAATTATAGTGGTTTGCCGAGGTCCGGACCCAAATAAACTTCAAATTATTTTATTATGGATTAGTACACAGTAATTGCAATAAATGCAATGGTAATAATTGGCATAATTATTTTCTATCGGTGTTTTGGTTTTAGCCTCAGTTTCCTCATCTCCGGTTTCGGCCAATTCAAATCAGTTTTGTATTGTGTTTACAAAACCTGCTCCACCTTTACAGACTACACTTACAGAAGAAAGAAGAGAAAACAGTGCCAGGTCAAACACAGTGCATTAATATGCAGTGAGTTTGACTCATAGGAGGCTGAGACAAAAGCCACAAGCCTCCCTGCAGCGTTACTGCTGAGGTAACATTGTGAACAAGCACCAACTGACTGATTACCTTAGGAAAAGCCTTCTGGTTAATCTAATTAAGACTATCTGCAGCATCACTGCGCTCTGTGGTGCTCTGCATGGGCCGGTTCATTGTAATGAGATGCTGCTGTCCATTCAGTTCAAATCAGTCCAACACTATTGAGGTCAATTCATTCATGGAATGTCAGACTTTCGTGAAACATTGATCGAGATGATCTCAATCGTATTCATGAAACTTTAATTCTTGGATTTGTAAAAAGCGCAGGGTCAGATGATGGAAACTCAAACATAAAAACAGGGATGTTGGTTCTTAACGGGAAAAAGAAAAACGCCGCCGACCATCATTGTTGAATGCCTGGCTAAAATATTTGTGAACAGAGGAAGCCATTCATGCACCTTTGTATCAAAGAGGACTTCGAAAACACAAATCCCAAATATGCTGAAGCATTAAACTGGGACACAGATGTGGAGAGAAAACGTAGCTTTTATTATTGCTCGCTGCACAAATGAATGCTCGCAGCTTATTCCATTGAGATTGTTGGAAACTATTCTGTCACATGTTGGGATTCTATTTGGAGCCATCTGCTCTGGAAAATCGGGACAGAATTTATTATTTATTACACAGTATTACTGCAGGGCAGTGTGGGATCAGAGAAGTCACTGTTATGAGATGAGAATCCAACTTCCATAATAACAACATTTCACCACATGCTTCACTCCAACGTGAATGTACAAATTAAAGTAAGGCTAAAAAATTGCTCAGACAGTAACACACAGTTAAAAATGTTTGAAGCCTTCAATCCAGATTCACTCATGGGTCAAATTATTGTGCAATAAAAACCACTGTTTTAAACCAGCAGTCTGTGAAATTCACACATCTCTCCAACATATTAATTTAATTAACACAATTAGAGTTGTCTTTTAAAGAGCAGATGTGTGAATGTGGACGTGAATTTGAAAATTGTCAAAAACATTACACTACACTTGAGTTAAAATTATTTTTAATGTAATACTGAATACATAAATGTACTTTGTAAATGTAGTCCTTAGGGGGAAAATGGGTTATTGAATTTTGGTTTTATTAATAAATAGACCATGTTGTGGCCTGGAGGGCACCACACCAAAGAAGGTTTAAAACACTTAATAGGAAGACAGGTTCAGGACAACTTTTAAAGAAGCTAATTTACATTAGAAATAGCAGTATTGTTATGCGTTCAGTGTGAAACGAGAAAGGCTACACCAACAAGAAAACATGAAAAGTATGACAATTTAAAGTTTGAATTTTCACGGAATGGTGTTCTGCATCCATTTTTAATTTATTTTTCAGAGTAGAAATACATTTTTGTTCATATTTGAAACTAATAAAATTAAATTCATCTTACCATTGCATCAATTTATGTGTGTTTGTGGTCTTACTATCATAAATATATGCGTTAGAAAAAACATCAGAGGTATGAAACAAAACGAAAGGCTTCTTTCACAGATCCAATAGGGCATCAACTCTAACACTGAATTCATAATATCACACCGTCTGATGTATGGGTGAGAAAACACGAGGCAGAGCAAACACTAGCAGCTGAATTGAGGTTAGTGGTTCTTTTGTAGATGCTTCACCTCGGTAAAAAGAAAATCCTAGATACACCAACTTATCTCAATAGCAAATAATATTTATGAGTAAAATTTAGTGTTGCCAACAAACTAACAACGGAATTTCAAGGTGCAAT